AAATATTCGCCCATGGTGGTTTTGGCACTTAACAGAGGAAGCCTTGGTATATCCCAAGCTCTGAGCAGTTTGAGTAGCCATGATGTGAATTGGGATATATGTAATAATGAAAGAAGAAAAGATAGTTGCATAAAGAAGCTTCACCATAGGCAGAAAAGAATAACCCAATCGTTCAGAATAAGCCCAACAAGCCTGAATGTCATTCTCCTGTTGTCAATTCTTATGCCCATACAAATGGAGTTGATGTCCATAACTCAGTCAGTTTTTATTTCTTATTTTAATGATATTCATAATTTCCTTTCTCTCAAGAGTCAAGGACTATTTTTATAGCTCGTATCAAAATTAACCTTCAATAATAATGTTTATCAGCTTAATTATACAGTATAAACATTAATTTATGTATCGATTTCACTATATTCTCTCCTTCAATGGAAGGAAAATAAAAATATAAAATCCATTTTGTGGTACTCTTCTGTTTTTGCATGCACAACGGTTTTTGGGTACTATTACTCTACTTCCTTCAGTTTTTTCCTACCTTAATACCATTCATTGAGCTTTAAAATGTCAAAAGGCTCTGCAGGTTAAGGAGGAGTTAACCAGCTTGGATGAGTGTTTTTCAGCAGTTTTCCTCTTTCAGACATTATCAGGAGGAAGATAGTGGAACTGGTGCAGAATGGTGTGTTGTAGCTCCATGCATGTCACACTGCTTTGGCTGCAACTGAATGAAGTGGAACGACTGACCTAACTTTATAAGCAGTCTACAAGTGTGTGTGTGTGTGAGAGAGAGTAGCAGCAGTTACATGTACCTAATGACTGTCAAACTGGTTATGTTTGACTCTGTGACTGAATAATAGCACAAAGAATGTTGTAATGAAGGCATCTCCAGTTGTTGTCAAGGCACCATCTCCTTAGGGAGTGATTTAAACTCTTCTAAAGAGGAAAGCAAGATTGTTTTCCTGGATCGGCATTTGGCAATAATTTTTTGGTGCTTTAAAAGGACTATAGTCTGTAACTTTCACAGGACATTCTTTAATGCTGCTACCTGGTAGTTGAAAAGAATAATCCACCAGAAAGTTCACTTGCTGGGGAATTACCTTACAACAGACACTAAATATTTCACACTTGCATGGAGTAAAAAATACATTGGGCCAGTACATGTATACTAGGCATTGATCAACATTTCATGGCATTGGTCTTTTGCCATAAAATGCCATTCAATGTCCAGAATGCTTACAGCAAATCCCCTTCTCAAAAAGCTACCTTACAAATGATGTAGTGCAGCTTGTCGTCTCTCATTGTTGCAATTGGATTGAGCTCCAGTAGCATCAGAAAGAGCTACCAGCCTATTAACATAATATTTTACTTGTATTCCCTTGCTCTCCGGCAGTTAACTCTCTCCTCTACCTTCCAGTAAGTTTGACTTTATTGGAAGGCACCATTCAATATTGTAAAAGATAACGTATTGTAATACATTGGATTATTGGTGACAATTTCTAAAACACAACAATCAAGATAATGAGTCCTTGTCATGCATGGGTACAGTACCCAACAACGACAAGGAAGACTGGCTGGGTTGATGATAGGGATTTTCATATCTAGAAATACAAGAAAGTCAAGCATCATAATAATTATTGTTCATAGACCTTAATTCCTATAAGTAAAACATGACAAAAACAATAAAAGACTTTAATAAGTTCCTGACGGAATAAAAATAAAGAGTTATTACTTATTAAAATGAGCTGGTTATCTTTACTATAATCTGATGATTATGATTAAAAAAAGGAGGAAGTTGTTACTTTGTTAAACAGATTCCTCACATTGGGGAAGAGAGTTGGAGGAACAATATGTTGTTAAAGCAACTTCTCTTGGTCTTATATTTACTTCAGTTATTTTTAAAATCATTTAAATGCAGGGAAAACCTTACTTCCAATCTCTCTAGTTCCACGTTCTTCAAACAAATTCAGCATTACTAATTTTAGAGAGCGTAAAGTGACACATTTGAGTTCGTTTGCATCATAAGTATCCATTTCACTATTATACTAGTCTATGTTGGAAGTAAAGCAGTTCATTTTTATACCTGTGCATGTGTTCATCACATGTCAGCTAGAGTGATGCATCATTCATTGTATAGATGATTCCTTTGTATTACTTGCATCTTATGAAGGAAAATTTCATAAATTCAAACCTAACATCCTAAAATTTACTAAGTGTAAAAGTGTAGATAAGTATCATGAAGTTAAAGAATGTCTTTGACATTCATTCAAATGCCAATACTGTGGGGATTATGGCACTAAGGTATTATGAGGAATACAGTCAGTAAGAATAATTATTGGTGTTAAAAATATGGCACAGAAGTACGGCTAATTACCAGTAGAAACATTTGTCTCCAATAAATTAAAATGGTACCTAAAATAACTTAATCATATTATTAGTGTTTGTCATTGCAAGTTGCCCTGAGCCTGAAATGCAATCCTGAAAAAATAATACATTTCAAAGAAACAAAATAGTTATACTTATTAAATCCTTAATAAAATCCTGAATGAGTCAGAAACATTATAAAAATTTATAAGAACATTTGCTATTCTGGATCCGATTCCCAACCATTGTTTTTAACTTACAATTGGCTCATTTTTCTGAGGGCTTGAGTGTTCCTCCTTGTCTGGTTCTTGACATAATCAGCGTCCAGCAGTGGAATATTGCAACAGTCAATATCTAAGAATGTCATGCTAACAGGATGTAGTGACAAAAAAATTATGATACAGCTCCAAAAGGACATCAAATGAGACTGGAATTGAAAACTAATTCATTGCAAACGTCTTTTAAAACTAACCTCATTTCTGATTGCTCTCCTGGGGGTAGCCCTCATTGTTTTGAGTTTGGCCATAGTGACCTGCATTCAGCTGATCACATAACTATTGATATATATTCGATATAATTGATTCAATTTCTTGGTGCATCTAGGCCTAATGTAATGGATTGTAATGGATCTTGTCCAACATGTAAAAAGGAAGAATATCAACCAATTATTTTGTCTCCAATAAATTAATTATAATGGTGCGTAAAACTGCTGCCAAAAGTCAAGAGCTACTAAGAATCTACAAATAATTAATCACAACAAATAATACAACATTTAAAAGGAATAACTTGATTTAATCTCAAATTTGCAGATGCATATTCTGGTTCGTGTTCAAATAACCTAACCATCTTATCAGTGGTTATTTTGTTACTTTGTTATTAGTTATTACAATGAGCTGGTTATTTTTACTGTGTTTTGATTCAGAAAGGTGTAGTTTGTTACTTTGTTAAACCATAGATACTACAAACACACATGGATATGAAACAGGAAGTAACCATGCGAGTGTCCCGGATGTGATGACTGATGACGTATTTGTCCTCGGACCCCGCCCATAACAAATGATTATTGCACATGGAGGTATGGATCCAACATCAGTGCTAGAAGCAATTGCAAAACTTGACGAATTTCAGCTAGAAACTCCATCAAATCTATCTGTACTGTCCAATATATCAACTTTGATTCCATTAAAGGAAAAATTTGAAGTCATATTATCTAAGATTGAAAGTCAAATCAACCAACCCTTAGTACCTAGCAAACTGGCTAAATTTCATCAAAACCTCCATAAATTTCGTGCCTATGATATGCCCTCTCTACTTGAGTTGGAGTCATCCAAATTACTACTGCCAGAACCTGTCCTGAAAGACTTTATCTTGTGGCAGTGCATAGTTGATCACATCATTTTAGCCAAGTTACCTGAGCCACAGTCACATGCAGACACTCGGAAAGTAAGGATTCTCTCTCAAGTTGAACAAAATGGGTTATGATATGCTGCTGGTGCTGTAATAAGAAAGCTATTGGAAGAAAACAGATTTGATATCAAAAAGTTCTAAATCCTGGATGGATTATTAATATCAGAGAACAATGAAGCCGATGGTGACTCCAGTACAGTTTGGCTCTCAAATACTAACAGAGGTGGTTTGAAAATCATTACAGACTTAGCATTTGAATTATTTATAGAAATAGAGCAGTTTGTGTATCAACACTTAACTTCAATGAATAAAGAAGACGCTGCATGCATAGATGAACTCTATAAAGCTGGAATAGAGTGTCCTGACATTCTTAGAGTATGGGAGCAGTGCATCCTTGACAGTGAAAATGAAGAAACTACTGTTCTTTTTAGCATCATAAAGGAATGGACCAAAGTAAGAGGACATTTTATAGCTAAAATAGAAATGGAGAAGTATAAAAAGAAAAAAAACAACAACAACAAGGAAGAAAAGAAGTTTATGCAAGGAACTCAAACAAAAAAATGAAACACCACAAAAGCACATTTAAAATCATTGCAAAGTTACTTTAGAATACACAGGCATACATTATATTATTCATTAGAAATCTGTGACATTTTCACTTAATAAGTATGTATTTCATTCATGAATCTTCCTTTTACGCAACAGTTGGCTCAAATCCTCTGTACACTGGAATAATCTTTTCCTAGTTATATTTGAAGATGTTCCAAAAGACAGGCTCCGACTGGCTCTAATTGATTGAGTGTTATATAATGACTGGATAAAAGTAGGGTTATCCCCTCTGCCACACTGAGCTCGCTGCTGTCCAAAAAAATTTCGACATTGTCTTGGTTGAAGCGCTCACTCAAAACGAAATTTGCTCCCTCCAATGACAGAAGATAGGGAATTACTTCCAAAAAAGAGTACACTAGATTAATGCAAATGACAATAACAATAATTATTATTATTTCCATTGTTATACCAGTGATTTTAATTCCTTGCAATGTTTGAAGAGATAACATGGCTTTACTTCTGTCTTCTTTAGTTGCATACTTCATAGCAGAAGTGCTCCATTCCTTTAAATATGACAGAACGTCCTCTTGTAGCCACTAAATAATCAAACAATAATAATCACAAAATTTAATGATTCTGTTATAATACTTTTAATGTGTCATCATTTATGTTTAGATAAGCTCGCATATCATCATTTCTCTTGTGCTTAGCTTCATATAGGCTCCTGGTGTTTAAGCAATCAAAGAACTTGTTAAAATATCTACAGAACCGCTCAGTTTCAGTAGTATCTTTGAAAATTGAGCTTTCATTCCCCTGTAGCTCTCTTAAAGTCTTAAATGTGTCAGCCACAGATTTACTCAAAACCTATTTCAAAATAACATTTACAATGACTATTAATGTTTGTCTCACTTGAGCTGCTAGATGCACATTCATTCTTGAATATGAACTCAGTTTTACATGTTCAAGAGTTAACTTTTTACCTATGTACAACCCAGTTTCCTCTAGTTTTTTCATAAACATCAATGAGGTGGCTCCATAAAATATGCTTTCAATTAATCTAAATGGAAAAAATGAAAATTTAATTCTAATAATAATGATTGTTACCTCCAAATGTCTTGTACCCTCCTTCGATGAATTCTCCCAACAATTTCTTGTTGTTTTCATGAGATGGCAAACATCAGACATGAACCAAATGTATCTGTGGGAATGTAATAGGAATAAAATTATCAATGATGCATCAATAATAAGGACACATTACCGTGAAGGATCATATATATCACAAACTCTATATGTTACCCCATCTTTCATACAATTGTCAGATCTGTGCAGCTTAAAAAATTTCTGTTGGTGCTGACCCCATCACAGACAATGACTGTAACATATAACCCAATAGATCTGAGTTGTCGAATGGCAGTCCACACTATGTCATAAAGATCTTGACCTGATACTAAAGGTAATAAATTAATTGTTGTGAATAATTATGTGGTAAGTTGCAACACAATTACATGTATAATAATTACTTGTTGCAAATTGAGCTAAAGGATATTCCATTTTTGTAAATACTCCATGAATACAAACTCCAAGTATGTGTCTACGTAACCAATTACATTTCCTGTTTCACAATCAAAAGTCAGCCCCTCCTTGATCTTCATCTCATCAAATGACAATACAATCTGTCTAAAAACAAATGATCATTTAAACAACTGTATAATTAATGTATTGTACCGTTGAGCTTGATTCATTTCCTTCACTTTTCTTCAAATAACTGGGTGAATGCCTGTTTCTGAAACCCACACTTAGGTTGAAACCAATGAGTGTAGTCCTTCAGAGTCCTTTGTGATGGTAATGTAATGAAGCTTGAATTTCGAATGATACTGTATGTCTTTGGAGAGTTGAGCATAATACTAATACACCAGCATAAAAAAGTGGGTGACATCTCATACCCTGCCTCCCATTCACTTTCAGTGCTGCTTTCTGTAAAATTAATGAGGAAAACAAATTTTGTAAACTTTATGTGGGTATCACAATTTATTGTAGACTACTTACTCACCTGCTGTTGCCAAAACATCTTACAAAAATCACTTTGATTGGATTTCACTTCCTTCTGATGCTTTTCAATGAACTCCTCTAGATCCTCTTGCAGTAATTCATCTGTGGAAACTCCATCTGTATTTATTGACTCCTTTAATTTCTTCTTTAGGCGAAAGTTCTCTGAATGCTTCCTTTTAATATTCTTACGAAGTCGTTTTAATACCTGTGACCGTTGAGGTGTTCTTACATATCAGTCATTGGTCTTTTTCAGTGTGGTAACTGATTTGAATGTTGATTTATTTACAATGCTCCTCAAGCGAGGTCTGTATTGGGAGGAAGCAGCACATCTACCAAATTTACTGTCCTTTTCCACTAACAGTTCACATAATACATGGCATACTGTTAGCGAATCATCATCATTGGTATCCAATTGTGATACAACATCTTTCTTGACTGATAAAAATTGACCCTTTCTAGATTGACATAACTTAACCATTCCACTATCTGTATTACCACAGCATTTAATTCTGCTATTCAGGACATTGAGGAGTTGAAGAAAAGCGTCAGCTGTCAAAACACTAGGAATGTGAGTAAAGTGACAAAGTGAAGGAGAAACAGGAGAATGATGAACAAGAGCTTTCCATGATAAGTCATGATATATAATCAATAATTGAGAAATGTATATGGACCCAGCAACTTTATCGAAGCCAATTTTGAAGACAATCAACTTTTCAGAATCATCATGATATACATACCAATCACTGTGGCATGAAACAAAGGATGTCGCTGATACTTTAAACAGGTCATCAAGTGCTATAGGCTATAAGAGTAATGGTATTTTACTTAAAATAAAATTTTTTTACTCACCTCGGAAGAATTTATAGAGTGTCGCTTTCGCTTTGGCCCTATCCTTTTCTTGCTATACTTTTTTGGCATGCCAGTTATCTGAAAATGTAACAAATTATTCTAATAATTAATAAATTATAATAAATTATAGCAGGCAGCTATAACTTCAAGACTAGTTCTAATCAATGCACAACACATTCAAGATTCAGTATAAAATCCTATTTGGGAAAATTCACTATAGTTTTCTGGAAAAAGTGTTCAAAGTGAAGTCATATAAAAATGCCTTCAAAATAGCATAACTTTACTTCTGTTTGGAAATTTGAACATCAGAAAGCTACAGTCATTGTAGCCTTCCATGATCTAACTAAAGCCAAAATTACAGAGCTTAGTTACCTATAGAGCCTTCTGAAAAGTCTTCAAAGTGTTAAAATTTATTAATTTAGGCATATTTTTAGTATGTAGGGCAATTATATTCCCATTTTAAAACTTAAAATGACTTCTGTGGTTTTCTTACATGGCTACCTTCAAATTTCTTGAGAAGAAAGGACAGTACAGTAAATCTGAGAGATATTTTACTGGATGAAAGTCTACTTCAGCTACTTGACAAGCGACACACGCATAGGCACAGCAATAGTGACATCACCCATATAAATTCCAGTATATTGCACTTCCTGTTTCATATCCATGTGTGTTTGTAGTATCTATGGTTAAACCGATTTTTCATATTGTTGAAGAGGTTTGGAGGTACAGTAGGGTGGTAAAGCAACTTCTCTTGGGCTTATATTTACTTCAATTTAAAAATCATTCAAATGCAGGGAAGATGTAACTTTCTCACACATGAAAGACTTTGTGCAAGTCTCATAGTGACTCTCTTTTCCTAATCCTACAATATTTTCAAAGAAATGATTTTATGTCACATTTCAATACCTATCATCGCCAATCCAATTTTCATTGCAGTCATTTTTCCTGTTTGAGGGGGACCATGTGCCACTATCATGAGGCAAGGTAGTGAATTGTAGTGCAGCGCCATGGCTGTGCCAGATATCAGTAACATTGCTGCATAATAGTTGTGCTGAAAAATCACCTTCATAATATTGAAGAGCCTAGAAATGCATGGATAGTCATCATTCAAACATGTGATTTTAAATACTTTTTCAGTTCAGTCGTCTTGAATGGTAGCTGTATCTTTGGAATGACTTCTGCCACCTGTATTATTAGAGGAAGACTTTCATGAATGATGTTTGTCAGCCAAACATGTTGCCTATTATTGCTATCCACCACCTTTCCATCTGAATCTATCTCCATATCACCAAGGATTTCCCTTCTTGTTACATTATCATACTATAAAAGAATAATAATATCAACTCACTCTTTTCTTCCCTCAATACATGGCTTTGGTACACCAATCTAAATAGAGGACTGTATACGTCTGACGCGCTCCCTTTTGTGGTTGCTGGCTGTACCGCCGCTCCTTCAATAATGGCTTTCTTAAGAGAAGAACTTGTGTTGTTACTGTATTATCAATGACACACTGCGCATGCGCAATGTATCTCACAAAAAAGAATACCAAATAATAGTTCTCAACACTGTGTGCAATGAAGCAATTAGTTGACCTGTTTTCTCAGGTATACCTGAAGATTCACTTTTCATTGGTGGTCGTTGAAAAGTGTTTTCAATCAATGAGTCATCTTCACTGTCAATGTCAACTGGTGCTGTCTCCAAGCTCATTAATACCCTCTTTTTTTAACTAGAATGTCTGGTGAGCCATGGAACAGAAAACAAAAACTGCAGCTAGAAGGCAACGAAAAAATATTCATAAGAGAAGTTTTGAACTCTTTTGACATTGTTGTTGTATTAAAGATGCCACAATTTGGTATGTCCATGGATTTTAAACCACATATGAGTCGCTTCGTCCAGGTGTTTTAATCCCAATCAGCACCAAATCCGTCCATTCACTGTAGCATCAAAGACACTGCCAGGTAGTATATTTGCCATATATACCTGGCCTGGGGCCACATTAAAGGCACATCATAAAATAAACTAAATCATCCTATTCCTCACATAATCAGTAAGCCATTTCTCATTAAGAATAACTGATAGAGCTTCCTCTCAAGCACCCTCCATTTTATTAAATCCACTAGGGACATTATTAGAGGTAGGATCTGTACTGACAAATGTCCAAAGAAAAGCAAAAAATGGATATTGAATGACTGCTCTATGGATTACAAATCTACAAATATGGGTTATAACCTAGATTTGTAATCCATATAGAGTAATCAGTCAATATCCAATTTGTTGCTTTTCTTTAGACATTCTGCAGTCGAAAGATGTCATTAACAAAGTATGGGTCGCCAGATCTGAGAACTGTAGCTAAGACAATTGGGAAATAATGAGTAGTAGATAGAAGCTCTCAGGGACTGAGACAGAGCTAAGGCTCCAACAGTATAACAGTATAACCAAAAAAGAGTCCTGATTATACCAGTGATGTAGATAATCCTATTTATAGTTGGAAAACACAATCTACATATGTAAATGAACACTTAACAATAATTAACTACTTCAAAAGTGACCACCGAATCTGCACTTATAATAAAAGTAAAAGCCCTACTGAATGTAAACAATGAGGCTGAGCGGGGGCGAGGCTGTAGCAATTGAAAATAGTTCAGATTAAATATCTTGTGTTACTACAACTTACAACACAACAATAAAAAAATTAATAATAGATTCCATGATAACAATAATAACAATAGTTTCAATCTTTTCACTTCTAGTAGTAATAGTTTTGCCATGTCTCTCAATCACTGTCCATTTTGCTGGAAATAAGGACTGTTGGAGAAGACTGTCGTTCTTTGTCTGTAGTATCTATGATGCCATTTATTGCTTTTTGAGCAGCCTTGACAATGTTACTGTCAACACAGAACTTTGTTAGATATTTTGCCCTTAAATGTTCTGGTGATTCTTCCTCTTTACAGATGTGGGGTTGAGGAAGCAAGCCTCCCTTGACACTACCAGTTCTAAACATCCTGACTTCTTCTGACATTAAATTGCCAAGCCTTCTCCATTTTTGCTCACTTTAAATCATTTTATATTGAATATCATAATACCCAGTACCTCTTGTGCTGCTTGCAGGCTTCACTCTTCTTTCACCATTTTGCTGCCAGAAATCAGTTAACATTTTGGTAGCGGCTTGAGTGGCACTCGAGAATACTTAACGAGAGCCAATGTGGTATTCTCAGTGAATAACTGTGAGTGTAGAAGCAAATCACTCTCCCAAGCATATTAACATCTCGCCTGTAACAGACCAGGAATGGTGTGCTTCTGTTTAGTACCACGACAGTCTTGACAATTTCCTTGAAAGCTGTTGGACTGCGCAGTAAAAAAGGGCTATCTGCCCTATGACGATGGATCTGTAGAGGCTGCAATTCATTGTCTTGCTTGCTGATCAAATCGTTTTGGACCATCAGTGGAGCCTGCCATAGTAGACTTAGCTGGGGGAGCAGTTGAGCCTGTAGCTGACGCGGAGAATGGAGTTGTGGAAGAGGCTGAAGAGGAACTTGAACAG